TGAATAAAATTACAAAAACATTATATATGTGCTAGAATATTAATCAATATTAATTTATGGGTTTATTTTTAATTCAAAGCACCTTGTAATTTTCCATAATTAAAATCAGGAATAATCTACAAAATTATATATTTTTAATTTATAATAATATTAAAATATTTATATCATGTAATATCTAGCATTTTTATTACATTTGATATTATTAATATATGCGGTATAATTATATTATAAAAAATATATATATTTTATAATTAAAGTTTTTCATTAAATGTTTAAATTAAAAATTTTTTTCAGCTTTAATAATCTTAGAGAAGCAACTCTTCGACGTAATTCTTTAAATGTTCGAGCATTTCGTAAATTTTTTATCTAATTCGGGCACGATATCAGGAGCGTTTAAAGTCTCAATTTAAAAAAAATACATGTTATAATTTCGCGAAAATCATTCATATGTTATATAATCATGAAAAAAATTATATATTATTGATATCGAAAATTTTGTTCTTGCATCATTCGAATCAATATCAATACGCGGTTCGATCAATATAACAAATTAACGACGGCCGTTCATTGATCTCGCAAACAACTTTGCTGTCTTATCACAGAACGTGTGTGCCTTTTTCTCGAGTATACCGGACATCAGTAAAATATTCTCAAAAGGTGCGATGACAAATATTATATCTATATAGTTGCAACAACGATGACAGATAAGCTCGAGAAATCGAAGGTCGATCTAATCAGACTTATCAGAGACAGATACGCTTTACTTACATGTATTTATATAGCTATACGTGATGTTCGATTTCACGGTTCGGATAAGAGAGGCTCGTGATAGAATCGGGAATCGCTTGGACAGAGGTCAGAATTTTTATTCGCGTGTTTGAAATCCGGCAGCGAGCAAGTGTCATTTTGACGGGAACGGAATCGTCAGACGGATCGTCCTTGACATTTTGTGCGTCGTGAGACTGCGTGATAATGAAATTAAGCCGTTCTCGAGCGAACTCTAAAGTGCCACTCGAATGAAGAATAGAGAGAATTCGTCACGAATTATTTATAATTTTATTATTTGCGTGCATCGGCTGCTTCATTCGTGTCACTGAACCTGACCTGATCTGATACCCGTGATTCTAAAACTGTAACAAGTTGCGCATTTATGTGTGCGTTAAGTGTGTGTATTACTGTATCTGATTTTTCCTAGATTACTTTCAATTTTTCCTCATTCTTCACAATGTTTCGTCATGTTGCATCCGCTATATCGTAATAGAGTGATAGTACAGCTGTTTAATGTAAATCTATCCCGCACGATCGCGCTTTCACATTTTCACCAATTTCTGTTGTCAAGCACATTCTAATCACAATGATAAGCGCGTTCGTTAAATACGGAACGATAACGGGCTGCCTCTTTTTATGGCGCGATGTAGAACTTATAAAGAAAAATAATAATAATAATAAAGTGCTACGGGCAAGTTTGTGATAAAGCGAAACCTTTCTTTTTGAAAGCAGAGATTTATTTTAAGAGCTGAAAGTGCTGCTCTTGTGGTCGAAGGAGACATAAGGATGTGTGTGTGTGTGTGTGTGTGTATGTGTGTGAAAGAGAAATAAAGAGAAAGATTAAGAGAGAGGATTGAAAATAAAATTAAATCCAGATACAAACGATATACGAAACGATATAGCAAGATCATAACTTTCTCCGAACGGATGTTCTTACGAAACTTTATACCGGTCTGTATATACATATTTGTCGACTCGACTTCGATGAAAAGTACTTTAATAAGCAATTCCGTAACGGAGAGTATACGGATAATATCTCCTTGTGCTAGAGAATTAAGAATCGATAAGTATATCGCGATAATTCTCGAACGAGAACGTATAAATATGGCTCGTATAATTGTTCCTGGCAACACGTGATTGACAAACTGCTCAATTAAGTGATAATGTTAGATAAAAATAAAAAAATCGGAGTATATACGGATACATTTAATGGAAAATCGGTGATATCCATAAAATAAGGAAAAATACGAGTCTTACTCATATCATTCCGTGAACTGCATCGATTAATCGTTGATTAGAATTCTCGTTAAATTGAAGTCTACGACACTTCAATGACGTGTCAATGCTATGTAATTACATATGACGCGACGAAGCACGTAATGTGACTTACAATTAGCACATGGTGCAAGACTTAATATAGATATATATCTTTCTCAGATAAATATATTAAAGTTGTTCGAGTAGTTTCAGGATTACTTAAAATCAGAACCGAAGATAATTATAATAATTGCATCAATTATTCTGTTAATGCATATTATATCTCTCTATAAGGCAAATATCGAATCAAGCTTCAACGAGCCATATTTTCATTGCATTTTTTTCATATATGTAATTTAAGAAAATAAATAAATATTAAGAAAAATAAATATTAAGCAATTTTAAAAGAAGGGTCGGTCCTATCGACGCAAAAGCCTTTTATAAGAGTAGCCTTTCAAACGTATGTTTAGTCATCGTCACATTATGTATCTGCGGGTCCAGATTACACGACTTTCACTCCGAAATGTCAACGGCTGTTTCACTTTTCAGTTCCCCACCGCGCACGCATATCGATCAATTCGCTTACGCACAACAAAGGGACGATTGTTGCAAAGCGATTTACGATTTCTCTCTGTATCTGTTTCAGATAATAGACGCGATGGCGGCGTGTGTATTATATATCGATGCGATTGGAGCTTGCAAACTAAAAAGTGAAGGACTGGGACCTTCCAACTGGGAATAGAGAGATTCACGGATTTACAATTTATATTCCATGCTAAAAAAATGATAAGAAGGAAGTAATTAACGGAATATTTGCTCCAACAAAGTAAGAATTATACCATAACATTTATATAGCACGATAAAATATGAATTATATTTATATTTTTAGCTTACAGTGTTATCTGAAAATAGTCAAAAATTTCTTTGCAATATAAAAGCTTGTCTTGCAGACTTATTTCATTTTTTTTCTTATTAGCAATTCATGAAAAAAATGACAATTGGAGAAAATGTTTTATTACATGTTGAAAAGGATCTCTTGGCGCGGACATTTTCTTTGGTTATCTAGCTGTATGAGTTTTATTCTACATCATAAAGCTAGGTTACCGGAGTTAAGCTCCTCGCCATATCAACTCCAGCAATCTTCCCCTTATGCATTTCTACGCTTCAGCGAAAATAAAGCACCGAGACGCCGAAACTATTACACCTGAGGTGTCCTGGACATTATTGCAGCATCGACTTATCGAGTAACAAAGGCAGTGCCAGAAAAAAAGAACTCAAGTTTAGGATTATCTTACAGATATCAATGGCTGAACTTCTTGACATCTCTCTCTAGAATGACTCAATGTATGCGATGTATTATGACACATGCATATAATGATTTACATATTTTATTCATATTTTACTAGACGTACGATAGTGATTTGAATGTCAATCATAGTTATCGATGTGTCACGCTGATTCTAATTTTGTCTCTGATTTTATCGAATAAAAATAGCAAAAGATCCCGCAAGATCCTCTCCTACGGTACTTATTGTGTCGAATAATTTTCAGCTGTTGGGTCCTCACAATGGGCCGAGTGTTCAGTATGAAGAGCCGTGCAAACACAGATCCACACACATATAAAGAAGTATATATAAGCGACGTGTTCGCCGATTCTGCAACCGCAACATGTATGAAACAGGCAAATGCGAGATTGTAAGTTGTGGCTGTGTGTACATGGCTCTCTCTCTCTCTCTCTCTCTCTGTATTCCCCTCGTGCGTGAAACTACGAGTTGGGCATTTGTAATTGTCGTTAGTGTCGATGACTCGTGACCGGCCTGTCGAGAGGAGAGGACTTTTCAAAGTCGCGCATTATTATCGTACGGTTTTTCTCTCGCATTTTTATTTCGCACCTACATCACGGCTGAAAAATAATAATGTGTCCGCTACTTCGATAATCATACACTTTGGAGAAAGTTACGTCGTTATATCGCACCGGAACCATCAGCGTAAATGCGGGACGCGTCCCAATTCGACGAAGCTTGCACAATGAACGGCCGGCTATTCTTTTTTTTTCTTTATTTTTACTCCGCAGATTTAATTAATTTCTTGAAAATGCTATGTAAGAGCTCGAGTTTTATTTTTAAAATAAATTTCGTTAATTTATAAAAATGACATTTACATCATTTTTAATATAATTCTTATTGTTGCAGATATTATACACGTGCGATCATCTCTACGGGCAGATTATTTCTCATGACGAGCCTATTGATAATATAATTTATTCTGACCCCGCCTTTCGGCAGAAGCGCAAAAATTGTGCAGATCGTGAGTTCGAAGCGTTAACGTATCGAAGGCACGCCTCGCGAGAACGAAACGAGTTGTTTCATTAAACACACGCTGTGCCTATGAAACGTTACATTTTAAGTGTGTGCCGACACGGTGCGTGACGACGATGGTTCCCACAATAAAGAAGCCGGGATATGTTTACCAATTATACATATGTATATGCGACCACAGGAACGAACACGTCCGGCGTGATATTGCAGGAAAAATTCTTGGCTTTGTTTAAATTGCATGTATAGAAGTTAGAACAATGCCAAATTTCATTATCTATATGAAGTTTACAATCAGCAGAATAGAACAAGGCAATCACATTTATTCATTTTGTTGATTTCTTGTAAAATTTCCGCTTGCGAGCTTTCTTGTAAATTCCAAACAATTTTGAACATTAAATGATGAATTCACATTTAAATATAAATTTCTTTCTTAATTCACGTAAATTTAAACACCAAATTTAAAATGAGGCAAAATGACGTTCTTTTTCCACGATAGTAACAATATTAATCGTAGCTTGATTGCATTCAAGCGGTGCAAGTATTTTAAGATCAATTCTATGAATAGTAGAAGAGTCCTTCCTTTTATTAATTATTCATAAATTTATTATGTATATATATATATATATATATATATATATATGTATAGCGTAAACTTTTTATCATTTTATTGTACTATATTCTTGAAATTATAAGATTAGGAATACCACGGAAATATCAAATTATTTCACCACTTAATGATCAATGTAGTTTGTATATAATAATGTAAAAAAATGATTAAAATTACCTGAGTCGTAATTGTCATTTGCACTTCATATCACTCACTCTTTTTTCTTCATTATCCACGAAGCTGATAAGAGATTGATTTATCCGCGACAGGAAGCAAATTTAGCGTTTTCGGTCCGTGTTGTTCTGGATCAGATCACTATAAATAAAAAAAAACATCATTAAAGGATTGCATCACCACAGATCAAATCATTGCATAATTTCTAAATACATGAGATGTGTTTATTTAAATATACCCGGTTTTCAATAAATTGCAAAAATATTTGTTCGCAGATCGCATTACTCGGAATTGCAAGATAAAAAAACGGAACAAAGTTTTAAATAGATTCTGGAACATTCTGAAATTGTATATATATATATATATATATATATATATGTATATATAAAAGGAGCATTCCTATCTTGCTTAATCTCACGCTACGGAATTTGTGCTAGCGGAATCTCAAGGTAAATTTACATCGAATCGAGCACAAAGTATAGTCAATAGCTGTAAAGGTAAGAAAGGTCTTCTTTTAAATGCGCAATTCACTTGCATTGTAAATTCTTTGTCTATTTGCAAGATTGTAAGATATATTTAATAAGTTATTTATTATAATGTGTCATTATAATTGGGCGTGAATATGATAATCTTGTGAGCCATTTTACATTGCAGAACAGAATGTTGCGATTGTACAAACGAGAAAATCAAAAGTTGAGAATGTAAAGACTTATGAAGAGGATGATCTGAATAAGGGAAAAAAAGGAACAGACTACTAAAAAGAAATACATAGAAAATGAAGAGCTCGATAAAGCCAATCGGAACCAAGATCCTGATGACATTAGAATCCCAGCAAACACAAAGTAACAATTATATAACATCAATGTTATAATTTCCCACTCAATAATATAACTGCAATATAACATGGCTTGTACGTAAGAGTTATATTATTGTGTAAGAAATTATAACATTGATGTTATGTAATTGTTACTTTGTGTTTGCTGGATGAATATGATAAATGTTATAAGTCGTTGATTAATGATTAGAATAAATTTAGCTGTACAAGAATTCTCTACGAAAGATTAATTGGAATTCACAATTCTTTCCCACTTGACGTATTGGATAACAAGAAAACGAATGTCAAATTGTACGTTAGACGTGTATTTATTATGGACAATTGCAAAAAAATTAATACCAGAGTACTTGAACTTTAATAAGGCGAAGACTTGTGCGCGACAATATTCTCTTAAAATGTTGTAATATAACAAAATTTTGAAGATCATTTGTAAGAATCTCATAAAGAAATGCTTGAAACTCTATGATAAATTTATGAGAGAACATTTATAGGATCTATGACCAATTTAGTAATAATAATATTATTAAATCAGCGTGATACAGGATAAAATAAAATATATATTTACTAAAAATATATTTACTTTGATGAGAATAAGGAGCATAGTTTATTCATCAAATATGTAAAGTGATTAAAACTGATGCTATTGACGAATGCATAATGCAACAAATAAAGCAATTTGATGAAAAGCAGTTGTCCATTATACCATTCATAATGAAAAAGCACTTCAAAATCGAATAATTAAGAATTTAAGCTTTGAAAAGCAATAATAAATAAATATGTCCATGATCTTGTGATCTTTTTTATTATTCAAAATTATGCTTCTCTCTAATTTTATCTTGAAGAAATTCAAGCTATATACTATTTGCATCTATAGAATAATAATATTTGAGATTTGATAAAACCAGCCTCTTGTCAGAGAAACAAGATATGATATACATATATAACATATGTCAATAAATGTCTGTGAGGAAATGTAAATAGTATATAAATGATAAAAAGATGGAAGACATTAATAATACACAAATTTATCACATATAATACTTTTTCATTATCCTGCAAATATCCTTTCTGACAATTATATCATCTTATGATTATTATATTATTGTCATTGAACAAAATAATATCAAACTTAGTATTTTGATTACTATTATTGAATTTAGAGTCGAGTATCATACTAAATGTGCGTATGTTAAATTATTAAAAATTTTGCATTAATTTTACAGACTAAAATTAAAGTACACATAGTTAACGATAATTATTTTCATAATCCAAATGTTAAGTACAGATACATTAATTTAATATTAGCCTTTTCTTTTTTTAAATCCGTATCTTATTCCATAACTCAAAAGTATATATGTGAGACATATATATTAATTGATTTAATATCCATTGTATTATATACAATTATATATTTAATGTAGAAATTAATCAATGTTACATATGTATGCATAGAATATAAGATTAACGCAAGCAAAAAACTAATTAGCTTTTTTTTTTCTAAATTTAATTATATACAATTATATGTATGTTTAATATAAATTAATCAATGCTACTATATGCATATATATATATTCAATATCTAATAGATTAAATAATCATCAAAATATAATGAGAATTTTCTGTCATATAATCGTTATAAAACATCAAACATACAAGATTCTATTAAATATAGATTGAGAGGATTTCTTTTACCTTAACATTTTTACTTCAATTGTGTTCGCAAGATATTTTTTAACTCATTCTTTCCTATTGCACTATCGACTAACGTAAAGAACGCGCGCGAACTTAGTCAAAGAAGCCTGCCAAAACGCCATCTATAATCTGTGTACGCTGCTGCACGATTAGAGGAGCACTTCACCTCTGTTGCAGACGAAATAAGTCGTATGGGATCGCAGCCTTCCTCCTTAGACAAAAAAATTATGATGGCAAGCAAAACTTGGAAGGTCAGTACTGTCACCGACTGTCAACCGGATCAGCTGATCGCGAAGCGTCTTGCGGTCATTTCGCGTAAAGGATGATCGATCGTATATTTTCATGCGGTATGTGACTCCTAAAGTCGCCTGAGATTACTGACGCGATTTTTCCGCAGGTGATCCAGCCGCACGTGCCGATGATCAAGTTTCGCAAGGGTGGCGTTAATCGTGCAGGTAACTTACAAGCGAAACCGGCACGCAATCGATGCCGCACCATATCATGCGCGATATCGTTGAAAAAAAATATGAAAAAAAACAAATACCAGCTGACACCGAGATCTGTTGCAGCAGTTGCAGGCACGACCACAGCTCCATCTAGATCAGGACCGTCCCAAAGCGCGGGAGGTTCAACGGGCCCCCGAGTAATAGTCCTGCCAACGATTGAAGACATTCACCTGCCTCTGCGATATCAAAGACGACCGATAGATCAGAAGGAAATCGAATATATTAATGTAAGTTGCGAGATGAATCTTGTTTTGATGGGGATCTTTGAGATGTCATGAATTCTGCGCACTTGAAAATTATTTTTCACTCATTTGCTTAATTTAATATAATGTAGATATAATTAACGTATTATTATATATACAATGTATTCTAAAAAAAGATTTAATTCTATAATTAATAACACTTGTGCGTTATCTTACAGCGTGGTGGACCAGAATAAGCTTGCAGTACAAGTATTTAGGATTTTGTAAATTAATGCGATGTCATAACTTATATAATAATTAAATTAACTTTATTATTGATTGATCTAATGTGTTATATTCAAATAAATAAATATGAGAAAAGATATTTTACATTTATATGCATATCAACCATACATATATCAGGCAAGGTCTTTTGTGACACTGCCAGGGCCTGCTATTTTTAGCACAACTCTTAGCTCATTCCTGTAACAGCCAATATGAGTTAATCCCAGACGTAATGAGATTTTTCTAAAATATTTTATTCAAATATTAAATTTCTATTCATGCTTCTTTCATATATAATTGAATCAAGAAGAGAGATTATTTGATACTTATTCTGTAATTTAAAAATTCATCTTAAACATGTGTCTGGAGTTTAAAAAAATATAAATAAATAAAATCTAATTTCCATTGATAATATAATTATTTTATGAATGCACATAATTTAAAATAAAAAGTGCCCGAAACATTTTCAAGCATTTTTCAGTATAATTTAATTTTCATAATTATGTGCTCTGACTTTTTCATTGTAATCATTTAACGATAGTTTTTTTTAATTCTTAGCAATAATTCTCTCTCCGATGACAACGTCTTGATACGGTCCTGCTGCGGTATGACAAAAATAGCAGACGACAGTGCGCTGCGGCGGCTTTCATCTCGCCTCGACGTGTGCCTGGACGTGAGAAGAATTTCGCGATCCGTTTATAGTTTTATCGAAGTTTTCTCGAAGCACGAAACGCATTTACGAACGACGAACCTACGAAAATGGCCGAGATAACGGATTTCGGACCGAGAAAGACGATTTTTATACTCGCGATCGTGGCCAGCTGCTTTGCAGTGCTATGGCCGAAAATTTTCTACCCTATGCTCACAGCATCTGTCACCACGCATCACCCTACGACGGACAGTTCTGGTAAGATTCCAATGTTCACGTACGTAAGATTGTTAATGACAATAAGAATATTGCAAAATTCTCGCTAAAAATATTTTGTTATTTCTGGTGGACATACTTTTTTTTACCTTTTTGTCTATAAATAACTTAAATTTTGATGTTTAACATGTCTGCAGAGAGTCAAACAGACAAGAATTATATCTAAATATAAAATACCTTGCAACATATGTTCTTTTTATACTGCATACAGTTATTATGTGTAGCGTGCTGCGAAGTAATATTTGAAAGCGATGTCACTGCGGTGGATATAATGCAAGAAATGTGTCAAAATATATTGAGGCATCATCCAGTTGATCCACGTGTCAGAGATGCGTTAAAGCTTAGCAAGCTGAGTCCACAAACCGCGAGTTTGTGTAGAGAGGAGGTTCTAGCCAGATGTGGCATAGATTTATCATCTTTTCTCGCTGAAAGAGAACGATTGGGAAAAACTTACAAACAAGTGTTGGAGGAAATTAGATCGTTCAATAGTTCCCTTTGCCTTAAAATGAACTTTGGTGTACCATTGTCTCAATTAGGAACACCTCATCTTATCAGATATCATATCTTGATGCCACACAGTAAGAATTGCAAAGATATGCAAAGTAGAATTAATATTGTCATTTAATACTAATAAATCTTTGTGCCATTCTACTTTAATATATAAATAATTTTAACTAACTACAATTGTTTTCATAATGATTTCTTTAAATATATATAAGTTTGTAAATCTTATACTAATTATAATAATATTTGTATTAATTGAATTTTTAAATTAATATGCTTTTTAATCAAATACGATGACTAAATTGTTTATGTGTAAATCACTTATATAATAAGATAAACTTTTAGCTATATGTCTGTAATCACATCATCATATATATATATGGAAAATGGCTTTGAGTTATCTATTTTGCTTTGGCTGATTGCCAAAAAAATAAGCTTGTTGGCAGACAATGTTTGGCAGACAAGACATGGCCCAAAGCATTTCAAATACATCCATACCCATGACTTATTTATTCCTCTCATTAAGATTTTTTTACAAAATTTAAAATTTTATTTCATTAAGTTAATTGAAGTATATTTATAACAATTTTCAAAAATTAATAAAAGACTAATTATATTATATTGCATTAATTGACACAAGTTTGTACTAATTTGTGGGTGGACGTTTTAACACAAAATTAATTGATTTTATATACAATAAAAAAATATTATTTACAGATAAAAATTCATAGATTTTTTTTATGTCTACAGATACTATACGACAGGAGCGTCGTACTCCTCCTCATGCAGGTGGAATGCATCCTGCGATGAGAGAGCGAGGGAGGGCCATACCATCCTCTCACATTGTACCGAAGATAGTGGACAGAACTGATCACGCTATGCCAAAAATGAGGCCGCCTCTTGGTGGCGCTGGTCATGTTGTTCCAGCTCCTAAAGGAAATGGTACAATGGGAATTGTTATGCCGCTATACACAATAGGGATAGTTTTGTTTTTCCTGTACACCATTGTCAAGGTAACATATAAATCTCCAAAATTATTGTGACAAAAACTTAAAATGTATATTAAACTTATTGTTTTAACAGGTCTTGAAGAAGAATTCCGACAGCGAAATTATTTCGGAATATCCGGGGCAGCTGCTGAAAAGGAATTTCGAAAAATGGTGTTCAGTCCAGAAGCTCTTACTACTGCAATGACTGGAGGTACGCTACATTATCCAAGGGAAAAGTCGCCATTTAGGACTGCGCCAACTATAGAAGAATTGAAGGATCGTAAGTGCTTATGTGCAAATGTTTCTATTATTACAAGCCATGTTTCATTTACATTATCATCAATGCAATGTTTTTCTGAGAAGCTATTTCTTTTGGAGAAATATATTTTAGAGAATTAAGATATATATATATATATACCTTCTTGAGTATCTAAACAGATTTTTCAATGGTATTGCATGATGCAAGGTTTGCACAATTAGAACACACACGTATCTATACGCGCGGATATACATTGCAAGATTCTGAATATAAAAATGAGCATATATTGTAAGTATTTATACTTATACTCTGTACTACGTTTGATAATGTTGTACATGCTGGAACACTAGAAGCGGCAGGAGACATAGAGATAGATCAACTGAGACAACGATTGGTCGAGACGGAAGCAGCCATGGAAAGAATCGTTGTCCAGATGAGCAACATATCACGTTCAGTAATGCATAACTCGGGCTCACAGCCAGAAAACAAGGTTTATCAGATTAGTTTTGACGCAATTCAGTTTCAGTTTATTAGTCGTTAGTAAATATGCACGTCGCTGTGTTCTGATTGCGTTACAAGCTTTACCTACCCAATGTACATTAAACATACTGTACATTTAATATTAAGATTTTATCTTCAATATTTGGCTTCTTCAAATATCAATGCTAAGTGTTGCAAAAAATTACAAATTGTTGGTTTAAACTGTTTATACTGTACATAAGATCCATATTGATGTATATGCATATATTAATGCACATGTGCATATTATATGCATATATTAATCAAGTGCGATATTCAGTATACGAATATATCAAATTGGAATATATGTATTCAGTAATAGAATTTACGTTGTATATTTTTATATTTTGAGTAGTAGATGAGGCTCCAAAGTCCAATGGTCTGGCAGGGGTCGATCGCGGTTCTAAGGTACATCTCTTGCCTCCGAAAATATCTCTAACAAGAGTAACCAAGAGTTTGTGGGACACTTTTCATTTATAGTGCACTAGTTTTACGAATAATGAGTTTATCATGTATAAATGTCTTCGTTTTTTACATATGATATTCTCATTCTGAGTATGATTCTGCGATAACAACATTTAAGTATTTTAAAATGCAGAATTATCTTTTTATAAGCAAGGATATTTTTCTCAATGCTAAATATTGTTGAGAAACATAAGTTAATAAGTTAATGAAATAGTAGTTGTTCTTGAGTTTCTTAAAGTGCTAATTGTGTGCCTTGCATGTGTATGATACTCGCTTATATTTTATATCTTATTCATAAGGCATATTATAAAATTAATAGACCATAATGTATGGATGATTGTACATTTGCATTACATATAATATTATTGTATAATTATACTGTTTTTTATTTTTATAGAATCTCTAACGTAGTTCACTTTTTGAATATGGTTTTTATTTAAAAAGCATTGCTTATATATAAATAGCTTTTATTAAATTAATGAGAGAAATGGCTTTGAAGTTTTATTACTTATGTTATTACTATGTATATTTTTTATTTCAAAAATATGTACAAGTAGTGAATAATGGAAGAGCATCATAATAAAAGTTTAATTTACAGGAAGACACTACAACTCCGGAATCACATAGTAGAGAAGGCGAAGAGTTAGATGCAGTGGAACAATCACCAACAGTTAAAGTTATGGGTATGGAAATGACAGCTAGTTGTGAAAGTGGACAGAAATGTAGCAGACCTACCACCCCCATTATTCTTACACCAAGGTATTATGCTTATCATTTTTTTCTTTCAAAATGTTTCTATTTTACTCATTATTTTCTAAATGATTTTTCGACAGAATATATATTGTCATTATATGTTTTATTTTAGTAATGTTGAAAGAGAAAAAACACCACCAAAACCTATATATTTAGAGGGTGCATTACCACCACAGTGTGAATTACTTGTAACCGATTCAGAAACACAAGCAGAAAAGTCAGAGGACGACGACGACGCTCCTGTTGTTCTCTCAGGCAAAATGACCCTCTCCCTCATCAGTCTCGACCAGATTCCAGCTGTAAGGAAATATTAGAATTACCAACAGAATCAAATGAATCTGCGGAGCCTTGTTTTATTTGGTGATTCTTTCATTTATTTAATTGTTTGCCTAACTTCTGTATAGGTTACTTAATATAGAGATCACAAATCACAGGAACTAAATGCAGTGCAAAGAATGGTTTCTTGGCAATTATAAATATGGGTATGAGTAATGTGCTGATTTCATTATTCATTATTTTTATTCCTATTATTCTCTGTGATTTGTTCTAGATATTAATGACATTAGTGCCTTCTGCCTTTTATTTATGTTATTTATGTTTTACTAATATTTTCTTTTTATTATGATATACACTGGCTTGTTAATAAAAATTTAAGTTTTATCAAAAATAAAAAATTTCTGAACTAA